ACGCTCAGAAGTTGAGTGGCTTCGGTTGAATTACATCCACCAATGGCTTATGCTCTGAAGCTGGGCTCTTGGTTTGGGTTGGGCTTGTTAGTAGTGCTGCAGCAGAGGTGCTTTTAAATGTATGCAGGAAAATCTTCTAAAAGCACTGGATTTACAGTTCCCTCAGCTGCTCTTGTCATATATACTCCCAAAGGTATTTAAGAGAAATGACTTCTCATTTGTTAGTCATGCCTTGCTTCCCGCACTGATGTTTGCCCTCCACAGAATGTGCTGCCATCACCTGGAATAAATACCCATTTCCACCTTTGACAGTGTTCTCTTCCTAGTTCTTCAGGCTTTGAAATCGCTCCTGTTCCTGTCGTTTCCTTGGCTGTAGCAGAACTTTTGGCCAAGAGAAGATTCGTGGGCATAAAATACTTGAAGTATAGTTTAAGATAGGCGGGTTCCGGATGCTCGTGGCTAAAATAACTGTGGCTTCTACAGCCCAAGAGGGATGAAATTGTTGAAACCTCCTGTGTGATGGTGATGTCAGCCCTCATACAGTGCAGTGGCTGTTGCGATGTGGGTCTGTGCTGTCCCGACATCTCCCCAGCCATGCACTGTGCAGTAGTTAATTTTAGAGGCAGCTACAATGAACTCGTGCTTTGCCTCCTCCAGTGGAACTCGGCAGTGACCGAGTGAGCTCATTTGGAGCTGATAAAATGTTTGTCGGAATACTTGTGGTTAGGTTTAAGTGATGGTTGTTTATCAGAATTGGTTGAAAAACCTTAGGATTCTTAGCACAGTTACATGGCAAATGAATTGAATAGTCTTACACATGCTGATGTGTGACCTATAAAAAGAAGCTGGAAGGTGGTGTTCTGATGTCCTGGGCTCTTGGACAAGGTCTGCTTCAGATCCTGAGGCTGGAGACCCTCCCTGCATTCACGTGGGCTCTTTCCCACACCTTTGCATCTTAAAATGCTTGAGAGGAGATTCCTTCACCTGCCCACTCCTGAGCCTGCCTCCCCTCACGGGAAGGGATGCTGTGACTGGTGGTGGGGGAGGTGCTGCACTCTCAAAGCAGTCTCTGTTCTGGTAAAGTTACTCCAGCTGGACTGGATCCAGGACATGTCGCTCCTGTCAGGCGCGGTCTTCAGCTGTCGAGCCCCAGCTCCTGCACGGTACAGGGGAATGAGTTTCACAGCAGAGGAAGCCAAGCTGGCTGAGCTGAAGCCACGGTGTGTCTCTGTCTTCTTAATGAAAACTACTTGGATGCTTGTGGTTTCAAAGTGAGTCATGATCTCTTGGAGGTGTCCTTGCTGTGGCAAAGAAAGCTGGGCTTGTGAGCAAGCTAACTACTAATGGGTTTTCTGCAGACTCTTGCTTAATACATGACTTCCCCTTTCTGTGGAAAAAATCTCTGCTTGGACAGATGTTCCTAGGCCAGCATTTCCCTTGGCGCAGCCATAGTGTTTTATTTGTAACTTTATATGTGGCCATGGAAAACTTTACAGAAAACTTCCCTTACTGTTCTAAAAGTGCACTATTTGCTGTTCAAATCACTGTTTTCCTGTACTTAAAGTGTTCTTTGAACTCTGTGTGGAGAAGGTGCTGAAAACATGAAACCAGCAGTGGCTCAGCCAACGTGGAGCTGAAGTGAGGAGGGAACAGGGCAGAGGGGTGCAGGGGAGTGAGATGCTGTTTGCAGGAGGCAAAGGTGTGTGTAACAGCTCTAGTTGGTATTTTTTATATAAATACAGTGAAACCTGTTGCTGTTATGGTATGTGTTACTGTGTCCCAGGTGACATTAATGTGGTTACTTCACAGGGTACATTTAGGGAAAGCTCTATGTGAATATAAAATCCAGTGCAGGACCTTTTCAGCAGTACAAATTTAACAGACACTGCTCATCTCTTTGGGTGCAGTTTGGGATGTTTTCTGCTCAGTGCTGTCTTCCTTCTGCTGCCCACCAGATTTTCTGGGGCTCGCACAGGTGCCGGGAGCTTTGCCCAGTACAGGGAGGAGGATTTGATTTTTTTAGCCCTTAATCTTTGGAAGCAGGAGCTCTGCTGGGTGCTCTGGGCCGAGCTGCTGTAAGCCCAGCCCATGCCAATTGCTGCCCTCGATGTGCTGTGGGCAGGGTGTTCCCCGGGTTTGCTGCACAATTAATGGCAAAAATGGCTTTTATTTCTCAGCTGAACTGACATCTTTGAAACAACTTCCTGTGTTGGTGTGAAACCCTGGAGGGGAGAAATGAGGAAGAGAAACTGGGGAGCCAGGCGCATCCCTGCGCAGAGCAGGCTGCGCGGCCCGGGGCTCTCTGGAGGGAGACTCTCCGGGCTGAGCGGTGTGGATGGGTTTCATGGCTTTTTCCAGTTCCTGTTCCTACCCCACTGGCTTCTCTTGCATGATTCGGTGAGGAGCTGCATCACGTACAACCCCCTTGCAGCTGGGTGATGGTTCCCTGGCTGTGTGGGTGGGTTGGGGACGTGTGGCTGCCCACCCTGTGTCTCCCCGGTGGGGATGTTCATCCCACCGAGGGCAAGAGGCTGCTGGGGGGGGGCGGGTGTTGCATTGCTCACAGGCAATGAGAAACGTGGGTTTGTTCACCAAATATCAGTCTGTTCAGGGTCTGTTGGCTTTGAGGCGGAGGCTCAGCTGGTGATGAGTGGCTTCACCTGAATGCCCATGGGGTTATTTCCACCTCCCTGCCTGAAATAATTGCTCTGCTGGCTTGGGTCGAGGTCCCCAGGGAACAGGCAGGTCTGAGCTGAGTCCTGAAGCTGCTTGTGCTCCAGATAGCTTCTTTTCCCCAAAAAAGATAACTGGTTCCCCAGCCTCCTGTTGTGATGCTTGTCAAGTTTTTCATGGGCAGCACAACTATGAAGCCCCAGGGGTGACAGGGTGGTGATGAGCCTGTCTGGGTGCCAGCCTCAGGGAAGAGAGGGGGGGATAAGGCAGGCTGAGCTGCTCTGCAAAAAGGTCTGCATCTTCCCAGGAAAATCAATTTACAGACTTAAAACACTTTCAGAGGCTGTAGTCCTGTGCAGAAAGGTGTAGCGTGGGGAGGGAGCGCTGAAGAAGTTAATGGAAATGTCTGTGTGCAGGGTGAGGGCTGATTTGGTGCCAACAGCCCCCAGCTGGGCTGCTGTGGGGGGAGTGGGGCTCTCCCCCACCCCCCAGTTTATCGCCTGTGTTTGTGGTTTGCAGAGTCGGGCCCAGCTTCGTGAAATTGTGGGGGGTTTCGCTCGCCGAGTTCCTGTTCAGGCTTTCCTTAGTTCCCCTTAGGGCTGAGGCTGGTCATGGATCTGCCCGGAGCGTGGCCCTGGGCTGGGGGGCTTGCGACCCCAGCCAGGAGCCGAGCGAACCTGTGCCACCCCCAAACCCCCCGATGGCCCTGTGGGCTGAGAGGTGGGGAGAGCCAAAAAATGTATGGAAGGGTTTTATGCGCTTTTTTTTATTTCTTTCCCTTTTTTATTTCCCTTCTGTTTTTTTTTAAAAAAAACATGGACGGTTTCTAAATGCGGCATCACCTAAAAAGCAGCAGATTAGTTATTTGTCTTCAGAATAGCCTCTGGGGAGGAACGCAGGTGGGGGAAGGATCTGGGGGTGCAGGTGGCTAGGGGTGAGGGTGTTGGACACCCTGGGGCGGGGGGTCTGTGGGTGCCTCGGGGCTTTCCCAACTGGGTCCCATGAGCCCGGCAACAGGACCAGGCTCTGAGCACCGAAGCCTTTCCCCTGCATCTGGGCTGTGATTCCCTACCTGGAAAGGCAGAGCATCGTCCCACCAGCGCCTGCTTCTCCTCTAGAAACAGCATTTTTTTTTTCTGAGACCCTGCCTCGTTCCTTGGAAATGCTTTTAGATCCTTCCTTAACGCTGCGCTGCCGGGGGCTGGCTGTGCAGTCCCTGCCAGCGGGACGGCTGCAGGACTGATCTGGGAGAAGGGATGGAGTCTCTAAAGAAATCTGCTCGTGTTCACCCTGACTTTACCACTTTCTGGCCCTGGGACCGCGTGGGGGGAAGTTTGCCTGGTAACCAGTGATGCATGGGCTGATGGCTTTTAGTTTCACACTCGAAGTTTCACTTTTGGCTCAACCCCGGCCACGGTCGTGGCTGGGTCCTGATGCTGGAGCTGGATCGGTGCTGGGCGCGACATGCCCGGCAAGGCCAAGCCCCAGAGCGCAGCACTGGAACCGGGGACGTGTTACGCCTGGGGCAGCCTTGGGTCCTTGTATAAAATCACCTAAAATCAGCATTATGGGGATGGATGGCTGCTCTCACCCACATAATGCTGGGGGGGCTGGGCACCCACGCTGCCCCACTCCCACTGGTGCTTTGGGTGTCACCCACCTTGAGGGGCTGTTGCTTTTCTCTCAGGTTTGGGGGTTCAGCCCCCGAAGCTGCTGCAGGCAGGGTGAGGGGGGTGCTGCAAGAGGGAGGGGGCTTGAAAACACTTGGTGGTCCTTGAATTGTTCCCCCTTCAGTCTGAGAGGTGCTGGCTGAGCACACCCAGCCAGGGGGTGACCCTTGAAGTTGAGGTTTGGGCCAAAGTGCAGCTTTTCCCTGGCAGTGAGGAGGGGTGTACCCCAACAGCGTGCCCCCACAGAGGGGTCCTGCTCAGCCTTCGGGGTGGGGAACCCTCCCCATGGCATCCCCACCCCACCTTCTTCCTCACACGGTGCCTCCCGCCTCCACACCCCACTTATCACATCCTGGACCCCATGTCCCACCTCCTGCCCCCCACCCAGAGGTAGCAGAGCCCCCAGGCCCGTGGCACCGGCTGTCACCAGGCTGGGTGTCGTGACCTGCCCGTGGCAGTGGGGTGGGAAGCGATGCCCCACGGTACCCCACAAAGCGCCCACAGTGCTCGGGGCTGCATCCAGCGTTATTTCTGGACCAGAGACCTGCCGAGCAGAGGTCTGCCTGGCAACAGGTGATGCTTGTGCTGGCGGCCAATGGGGCTTTTTTTTTGGGTCGTGTCCCCCCCCCCGGGGGTGTCAGGGCAGGGTGGGGACCTGGGGGGTATTTCCAGAGGCAGCACTCAGGGTGCTCATTACCGATCGGGGTGCCGACAGCGGAGCCATGGCCGAGGAGCAGCGGGACCTCATCTCCGACCGCGGCAGCGGTGTGGTCAATGTTGGGGACACCCGGAGGTGCTGCTGCTGGGGGGCGCGGGGATGGGGGGCACGGGGAGGACAAAGCGGGCATGATGGGGGTGTGGGGCAGAGGGGGAATTGCGTGGCCGTGGGGCGGAAGGGGAGACAGTTGGGTCAAGGGGGCACAGAGTGACTGTGGGGCAGAAGGTGGGGGTCACACTGTGGCTGTGGGGTGCTGTGGAACCAAGGGGGCCGTGGCATGGCTATGGGGTGGAAAGGGGCTGGAGCATGGCTGTGGGGCAGGGCAAGGGCACAGGGTGGCCGTGGGGTTCAGGGGGGTCACTGTATCTCTGGGGCAGGTGGGGACGTGGCGTGGCTGCGGGGCGGATGGGCTCCCGGCGTGGCTGTGGGGTGGATGGGGGCACGGCAGGTGTGTGGGGGAGACAGGTCGAAGTCATGGCCACGGGGTGGGTGGGAGCACTGCGTGGCTGTGGGGCAGGCAGGCTGATGACGTGGCTGTGGGGCAGAGGATGGCTGTGGGGCAGGCAGGGACGCAGCACAGACCCAGAGCCCATCCCGCTTTGTGGGGCCATCCCCCCCGCCATCTCCCAGCGCCCCCCCCCCCCCCCCCCCCCCAATCTCCCACCCCTCTGGGCCCCCTCCCCTCACACACACTTCCAGCCAATCAGAAGCTCGGGATCTCTGACATCATCAGTCACCAGGCAGACATCCCGGCAGCTAGTCCAACTCCGGACACTGCCTGCAGCAGCAGTGGCCGCCGGGCAGCACCCATGGGTGCCCCCACCTCGTCGGGCGCCTTGGGGCCCCGCTGCACCCCGCCAGTGCCCCATTCACCCCGGCGGGGCAGGGTCTGGCCCGGGGAAGCCTCGGCAGCCACGAGGTGCTTGGCTTTGCCTTCCCTTGGAATCCGAGTGCGATGGCAGCGCTGCCACACCCGCCTGCCTGTGCGCTCAGACTGCCCTGAACCTTTGCTTTTTTGAACAAAAAATTTTAAATGTGCAGTCTGGTATCCCATGGGGTATGTCTTCTGCTGCCTGGAACCAGCGAGGCTTCAGGTGGCTTCATCATCCTGCAAACGGTGGTGCCCACAGTGATGCCATGCCCCAAAAATCCCCTGGCAGCATCCTGCCTGCAGCCCCCGTGTGCCCACACGCTCCTCGGGTACCCCTCCCGTGCCTGCCCCCCCCCTCCTCGCCCCCGCAGTGGGTTTCGGTTCCCCCAGTGCAGAGGAGTGACCTTCACGCTGAGATTTCACTTCTGCACGCCACCACGGGGGAATTTGCATTTGTCTGGCTGCAACCCCCCCGGGAGGGGCGGGGGGGGTGTGTGTGTCTGTGTTTGGGGCGGTGCGGAGGGGTTGATGTGGGCTGCCGGAGGGGATTTTGGGGGGGGGGAATGATGGCAGGGTATGAAGACATCTCCTGCTGCTGGAGGCGGGGGGCTGAGCTCCCTCTCCGTGTTCCTGCAGGTCTGTGCTGGGCCGCAAAGTCGCCTTCTCCACTCTCTCCATCTTGGTGGCCCTGCTGATCGCCGGCCAGGCTGTCACGGTCTACTTCGTCTACCAGCAAAGCGGGCAGATCAGCAAGCTGACCAAGACCTCCCAGACCCTGCAGCTGGAGGCACTGCAGAGGAAGCTGCCTGCCAGTCAGTAGCCCCACGGGCACCAGTGTGGTGCTGGTGGGGTGGCCGAGGGGAGAGGGGATGGGTCCCCTTCTCTGGACCACCCAACCCGGCACCCCTCACACCGCTCCTTCCTTGGCAGGTGCCAAGCCGGTGAGCAGGATGAAGATGGCCATGGTGAACACTCCCCTGGCCATGAGGGTCATGCCGCTTGCCCCCTCTGTGACCAACATGGTAAGAGATGCCCAGCGCTGCGTGGCACTGGCTGCTTCCTGCTGCCCTTGGGGCTTGTTGCCAGCCCTCACGCTCCCCCTTTGCCTTTTCTCTCGAGGACATGCCCCCCGCCAGCAACAAAACCGAGGACCAAGTGAAGCACCTGCTGCTGGTAAGGCCCCCCCGATTCTCCCCCCCGACCCTGTAGCTGCCCCCGGCGCTGCAGGAGGTGATGGGACACTCTGTTTCTGTCTCTTGGCTGGGTCTGGGGTCTCTTGGGGTGCTCAGAGCTGGTGGGAGCTCCTGGCCTCCTGCAATGTCCATCTGGCTGATATAAGCAGACCGTCACCCCTCTGCCCTTGTTGTTCTTTGCCCTGTCTCACTGTGGTGGTCACTCTGCAGCAAGCAGACCCCAGGAAGATGTTCCCGGAGCTGAAGAACAACCTGATGGACAACCTGAAGAGCCTGAAGGACACCATGACTGACGCGGACTGGAAGGTCAGTGCTTGCCACCCTATTCTTCCCCTTCCAGGAGCACCCGGCTTTGGGGAGGGACAGGGGTGTCCCCACCTGGAAAAAGAAAGTCCTGCTTGAGCCAGGCTTGGCTTACTCCCACCCCAAGGAAGGAGGTGGTGCTCACAACCTTCCCTGGCCCAAGCTGGAGCTTGGTGCACCCCTCCCCGTGCCGGTTAATGTGCTGTTTCCCCTTGTTGCAGTCCTTTGAATCCTGGATGCACAAGTGGCTGCTGTTTGAAATGGCCAAGAACCCCAAGACAGAGGACCGTAAGGCGATCCCGGCGGAGAAAGGTACGAGGGCTGGGGGCTGCTGAGCTGGGGAGGGCTGGGACTGGCCCTTCGGAACCATCCCCCAGCAGGTGCCAGCACAGGGCTTCCCAAAGGCAACCGACCCTCCGTCCCCCCCACCCGTCACAGACCTCTTTGTTCCACGGGGAGACTCGCGTTGGTGGCCTTTAGGACATCACAGAGCCACTGCCCACTGCCTGCAGGGCATTTGGGATGAGCAAATGTCTGAAAAGCGGGAGCACCACACCAACCCCTCAGCCCTTGGCCGGCCCAAGAGCTTTAGAAAGGTCACCAGGATGGGGCTTGCTCCCCTTTTAAATTGAACTGCTTCTGGAATAAAAAGCTCCCGCTGAGGCTGCTGGCTGGCAGAAGGGTCCAAGGGGAGCTCACGGTGTCTCCCCTATTTTTTTTTATTGCCCTAGTGCAAACTAAGTGCCAGCTGGAGGCCAATTTGGGGGGTGTCCAGCCAGGCCACTACCACCCACAGTGCGATGAGAACGGCGACTACCTGCCCAAGCAGTGCAATGCCTCCACGGGCTACTGCTGGTGCTCCTACAAAAATGGCACCAGGATTGAGGGCACTGCTACTCGGGAAAAGCTGGATTGCCCTGGTAGGTCATCGGGGAGGGGAAGGAGAGGAATGAGCAGCTTGCATGGATGCTGCACCCCCATTTGGCTTGCAATTAGGGAGGAGGAGAGCTGCCAGGGAGAGGAGAGGGTGCCCAAGCTGTAGAGAACATCCCTCACCCCTTTCTGGTGCCAGCATGTTAAGGCATGAGGGGACCCTAAAACCCACAGCGCTCCTTGGGTAGCTGCAGCTAGAGCTGAGGCACGCAGTCAAGGTTTTCCATGAGCCCCCCATGACCCCAAACCCGCAGCTCAGCGAGTGGGTGCAGGCTCTCACCCACTGCCCTCAGAGGGGTGGGGGATGATGGGGCAGCCTTAGGGGTCCAGCACCCCCATCCTGACCTCCTCCCTCTGCAGGCACTGCTGCCACAGTAGAGCCGGAGGAGATGATCTTCTCCGGGGTGGACATGCTGAAGCTGGGTGCTGAGAAAGGTGAGTCCGAGCACGATCCAGGGCTGGGAAGGGGAAAGCCCTGGGGGGGGGGGGGGTGCAGGGGTGGTGTCTAGGTCCACCCTCTAGAGCCAGGGCAGCACCAAAGCGTGGCTGGGGAGGTGGAGGTTGTGCTGGAGACACAAAAGCAGCCTGTGCTTTGTGAGGTCCTGCAGCCCCCTTACTGACTCCCTCCTCTTTCCCCCACACCAGGCGAGTAGAAGAGGATACCGGCGGATGCCTGTCCTGTCTTCAGCATCCCAGCTCAACATGGTGGTTTTTTGTTTTGGTTTTTTTCTCTCTATTTCAATTCTGCTCTTATATTGCTTTTCCAAGGTGATTAACAGTGGGCACCCCTGTGTGTCCCTGTCCCTTGAGGCAACAACTGCGACCCTTCCCCTGCTGCAAGGCACCAGACAGGGCTGAGCTGCCACCAGGATCAGTGATAGAGGCAAAGTGTTCCCTCAGAGCAGGGGTAAAGTAGGCTGGAAAATTACTTCAGTGATGTCAGATCCATAAATCCTGTTCGCTTCTGCTCATCAGCATCCCACAGCAGCCAGGCAGCGGCAGAGCTCACCCCTGCAGAATGAGCCATTAATGCTTTCTTACACTGAATGAATGAACATTAAAAGCAGCAAAACAACCTCCACCAGCTTCTTAACTAAACCCCATAGGTTGAAGCCCTGTTAGATTACTAGAGGAGAGGGTTTTTATTCTGAAGTGTTCAGTGTTGTATAGACATTCACCTTCAGCTTTTGCCTTCAGGCTGGAGAACAGCCACAGCAGTGGGTAACAGTGGGCAGAGGAGCTGACCCTGGAGTCACAGGAGGCTTCTAATTTTTCTGAATAGATCTGTTAGTTTCTTTATAAATGATCTCACAAGCTAATTATTTCAAATAAACTTTTGAATAAGAAAGCCTTGTAAGCAACTCTAGCAGGGTAGTGCTTGCACACAGTTTGCAGCTGTCCTAGGTTAAAAATAAATTAAGCTTAAGAAGGGAAAATGAAAAAAATCTCTGCAGACACTTGAACATCTGTGCTCCTCCCTGGATTGTACAAATTCCTTGCCCCAGTCCTGTTCCATCACTTGCTTGATCTTCCCTGCACCCTGGGGTCCCCTTGCACCCCAGCATGACCCAGGGGGTTGAAGTCACTTTTACATGAGTCACAGCAATGGGGGCAGAGGAGAGCAGCCCCCTGTGCCAGAAGCCATCTTCCTCCTGTGCCCAGGTTGCAGCCAGAGCCCTGCCCTCACCAGCAGAGCCTGGAGCCAGGCTGCACAGCATGGGAGGGAGGAGGGCAAGAGGATCTGGTCCCTTTTTCCCCCTCCTTAATGCCAGGGCTGGGAGTGAAGCGAGGAAACCAGGCACAAGCCCAGTACAAGGCACACGGTAGCAGCTGCCAGCGAGGCAGCAGGTTGGGTCTGCACAGACCTGCTCACAGCACCTGCCCCTACACAGCACTTTGGTAAAGAAAGAAAAAAAATAAACCAGTGCTAGAACACATGGTTCAAAGCTGAGGAGCAACAGTGTCTGCTTGTCCTTGGGGAGCAGGTAGAAAGCAATTAATTTTTCCCCAGGCATTGAAGCAGTGCCTATGAACCTGGGCAGATGCTGGACTCCACTCTCCTACCTGCAACATCCTCCAGAGGCGGCTGAGCCCTGCCCCAGGCCTGGGGGGCAGCGCCTGCCCTGTCTCCCTGGCCTGGCCTTGCTCACCTCCCTTCCCTTGAAAGCAGCTGAAGCAAAATCTCACTGTTCTTTTTTAATTCTGTATTCCATAAAAAAATCCACAAAAAATTACACCGTCTTGGCTGAGAACAGCTGCTGGACACAGCTGTTCAGTGCAACTCCAGGGACACGATAATTACTTCCATCAGTGTTAGAATAAAAAGTAAACCCAAGAGCTCTCTTCCATAGTAGCAAAAGGACTGACACCACAAATCACAGAAGGGGGAAGGAAAAAAAAGTGAAAGTTTCTCTTAAAAATATAGCTCTGTGATGAGAGAGATGGCTGGATGTCAACTAGGAGGAAAGCAGTTTATGCAAGCTGGCTCTTCTCTGGTCAGACTGCCTCCTTTGGTTCAGTTCTTGTGCAACAGGCAAACCGTCGGGAGGGGCAATAAACACATCTCTGGGCCCCAGAAGGGCAGGAGGAGGCAGAAAGTTACACTGCTCTGGCTCTAAAAGTCACAGTTAAAAGAAGTTATAAATTATTATATAAAAAAAAAAGTTGGAATTCTCCTGATGAGCTTCCTTCTTCTCTCTTCTGTTTGATCTTCACCCATAAATCCTTAATCACAGGGATGCGGTACCTTTGGGGAGAGGAGTTAAGAGTTAGGGATGGGGAGGAGGAGAACAGCCTTACAGCTGAGCAGAGCAAGGGCAGAGTCATCTGGTCCACTTCCAGGTGGCTACAACATCATCTAATCCATACTACTTCTCCAAGCTCCCTGTGGTCAGCAGGGACAGACACACACAGGCCGCTTATCTCTGCTGATGACAGAGGACAGCAACGTTCAGGCTGGACATCCAGTAACGTTCAGGCTGGACATCCAGTTCTCAGCAGCTAAAGAGTTGAGGTCAAACACATCCAGAGAAGCCAGCACGCTGCTGCATAACTTTCCTTATGCTGCTGCACTCCCTGGCCCTCTAACCCAAGGCCAGGCTGACTCAGTGAGCACTTAGAGGGCAGACTGGCTTCCCAAGACCAGCCCAGGAGAACTGAATCTGGCCAAGGTTACCACCATTCAGAGGTACCAACTGATAGTCCCCACAGGCCATGTACCTTCTCACAATCCTTCAGGCTTGGCTGTTTTCTTCTTCTAAAAAGAAAAGGGTGAAAAATAAATCAGTGTCATCTACACCACAATCATGAAGGACCCAGCAAAGCCACAAGCCACACAGGCTTCCTGGCTACCATCTCTACAGACACATACCCATTACAAGGAACTCTCTGCCCCCCTTCCTAGCCCGTGAGGTGGGATGCAGTAGCCTGCCAAGCCCTCAGGAGCTCCACTTTATGCTGAAAACAACCAGGTGAACAGACAGCTGAAGAAGAGCACTTACTCCTTGGGCAGGTTCTCTGCCACCAAAAGGACCCTGAGGTATGACACTTCCAGGGAAAGGGATCTCTCCTGGAGGAGTGATATAGGAACAAGCCTTTCTCTGAGCCAGCCCAATCCCAATCAACCAAAAGGTGTCTTGAGACTAGCCCAAATTAACTAGCCTCTGGAGGAATGAGCATCACACACCGTTCAGAACAGGTCTCCCCATAGTACCCCATCCCAGGGTCTTACACATACCTTCTTCTTCTTGTGAACCTCAGCAGAGCCATCTGCTATAGGCTCCCCTTCCGAAGACACCTTTTTGCTCTTCTTTTCAGTCTTTTTTTCTGGGAGAAGAAAAGAAAAGTCAACTGGGAGACGGACTCTGGTATTGCTAGGCTGAGATGGAACAGAGTGGTAGAAGCATCTCCAGTAAGTTTCTGATCACACTTAAACCTGAGCAAGGTTTCCAGAACAGTAACTGGGTGAGGGCAGAGCCCTGCTACAGGGCAGCTACACCCAGGACCGTTTCTCCAGTACCTCTGAGCCAGAGCAGTTTGATCCTAAACATCCATGAACACATGTGGGCAGAATTACATAGGATCCCTTTCTTTCCATCTCTTGCCACCCACCCACTCTAAGGAAACTGCTTCAGTGCTGGAGCAGCTAGGCATATGCCAGAAATCAGAGCAGGGGCTGCTACTAACACAAGATGGACATAAGGTTCAGCTCAGCATAACTGCTCCAAGAGGCTCCAGCTCACCCTGTGCAACAGCCCACACAAGGGCTGAGGGACAGGTCTGCCTCCTCCAAAAATGAAGGGTTGCATCTCTGCAGAACAGAAAACCTGGCAGACCTGACCCACCCATTCCTCTCCCTTTTTTTTTTTTAAAAAAAAAAGTCTACAAGATTCAGCACAGAATCAGCTCTGATTTGCAAATGCAGTCTGCACTGCAAAGAAAAAAAATTGCCTTTGCATTAGGGCAGCAAACAGACCCTTAAGAGAGGTGTGCAGACAGGAGAGGCAGGAAACACTCAAGTGAGAGCAAGGAGCAGAAGGCTGGTACCATCCTCATCCTCCTGCTCCAGGGGTCTGAAAGCAGCAGTAATAGCCCGGAGTCAAAACTCTTGGATGAGCTGCTCACCATGTTGTAGCACACAGATCAGACAGGGTCAGGAAGGGGCACTGTCACCCCACAGGGAACCGCAGCAGCTGACACAGCATATGACAGCACAAGTTTCAAGGCTGATCCCTTTTAAAGAGGCTGGCAGCAAGAGGCCGTGTTCAGGAAGCTCTGACTAACACAAAGCTCCGCGTACGTGAACGCTGGGCTTCCTCGGCCATGCCCACAGCGTGTCAAAGACCTTCTGCCTGCCGTGCCCAGCCACATTTCACCTTAGCTCTCCTCTGGCACGCGTTGCATTTGCCAGGAGCCAGGGCACCACGCAGAGCACAGCAGGCAGAACACAGGCCTCGTGGCTTACAACTAGCAAGAACTCTCCCAAGCCCAGTGCAGGCAGGCAGGCCATGCGAGGGGGGCAAAGAGCCCTCGGGAGGTTCAGTGCCAACTCACCTCAACCCTTGGCCAGCCCTCAGCTAGACAGCTGTTTCCAGGCAGGATAAAGGCCAGGAAAGGAGAAAGCCCTGGAGGCACAGCTCGTGCCATAGAAGGTGCACAAGGACATCAGCTTGCTCTGCGAGCAGCAAGGATCAGCATGAGTATTAAGGCAGTTCCCACCATGCTGGACACAGGACAGAGGGGCAGAGGAGCCCGGCTTGCTGTCTGCAACATGACCTGGTGCTGAGACTGCAGAAAAACACTGAACTGGGGTGTTAAAAAATCTGGCATTGGCTTTGGGTGGGCCAAGAGGGAAGTAGCCAAGCATGAGAAAGTGGGTGTTACTTACAAGGCCCTACCCCAGAGGCTGAATGTGAATCAGCTGCAAGAACCTATTGCAAACGCAGACCCCAGTGAGAGATGCTTACTTTTAGCTGATTTTTTCTTTTCCTTGCTGCCTGACAGCTTCTCCACATCACCAGATGCTTTCTTCTTTTTCTTTTTGGATACTTCTTCATTAGTTTGGCCTTTATGTTTCTTCTCCTTGGGCTGCCCAACAGCCCCCTCCTCTCCTGGAAGTTTCCGCTTCTGGGAGGTTTTCTGCTTCTTGTTCTCTTTGTCTTTGCTCTTAGGTGTTTTCACACCCTTGTCTGCTGTGGAGGAAGGTTTCTTCTTGTCCTTCTTTTCTTTTTTTTCCTTTTTCTTTTTCTTCTTCATTTCCAACCCTTCCAGTGTTTGCACTGCAGGAACTTTGGCAGCAGTGGTGACCTCTGTTTCGCTCCCCGAGCTTGACTCCTCTGGTTGTGGGACGGAGAACAGCGCATGCGATGCTGGGGTCACTTGTGCCCTTTTTGCCCCAACATCGTTCTCTTTCATGGGCAGGGCTTTTTTGAGTGGGGAAGGCTTGATGCTGCCATGACCTGGCTCTGTTTTTCCTGACACCTTCTCTTTGTTGGAGGCTCCTGGCTCTGTTTTTCCTGACACCTTCTCTTTGTTGGAGGCTCCTGGCTCTGTTTTTCCTGACACCTTCTCTTTGTTGGAGGCTCCTGGCTCTGTTTTTCCTGACACCTTCTCTTTGTTGGAGGCTCCTGTGGCTTCCTTCCCTGGAGGGAGTTTGTTTTCTGCAGAAACAGTGATAAGAGAGAGAATGAATAACACTCAGGGAACGCTCATTACATAGACCACAGAGTTACTGAAGGATGGAAATCCACATTTGAAGAGAAGCATCCAGTTTTCCCCACAAAAGCAAAACCTGCTGGTGATCCCAACTACAGCAAAGCCAGAGAAAGATGCCTCAGCCTGAGATCAACTGTCTGGCAAGGGAAGTGGGTGACAACAGCCACAACAGCTTTGGCTATTCAACTAGAAGAAACTGTAGCACAAGCCAGGTGAGCACAGATAGAGCAGTCCTTCCCCAGGACACCACCCCCCGTAAGTCAGGGACTTGCCAAGGCAGAGGGGGTATCCCCACCACCACGTTTAGCCATCACCAATGGCCTCTCCCTCAGCACCTGGGCCTTCTGGAACCTATATATAGTTCCGACCTCCTCAACAGCCCTTTGCACAACTTAACAATGTACCCAAGATGCCAACAGACCCATCTGAGTGCCTACGGCGACCCAGAGCTCACAGCCAGACCAGAGCTCATCTGAAAGTGCCAGGGTCACATCAGAGAAGAAGCAGCTTCCAGTTCCAAGTTTTACGATTTGCCAACAAGCCAAGGTGATAGGGAAATGGCAGGACATTCTGTTTCTCCACAGATCTTCTCACTTGCTTCCCCTACTCTGCCCTCCAGATACACTGCAGAGCCCAGAAAGACCAAGGAGAGGCCTGAATACCAGCACTGTGTAGCAGATGTTCTTCATCCAGTATTTAAACCTTCTGTAGAAGCTGTAACCACTGCAGCACACTGATGCAATGCCTATCAGTTTCAGAGAGAGCCATACCCGCTCCCATTAATTGCATTAATTGCTTCAGTTAAAGCAGAACTTAGAAGAGGCAAAGCCACAGAGCACAGAGACTCACAAGCCAGCCAGCACAAGAGGGGTGCTCAAAGAGGAGAGGGCTGTGTCATGGCCAGGGACGCCAGCAGACGGCAGCAGCACTCCACGCAACTGGGCTCTGCAGTAGAGACACACTGGGAACAGGGCCCCATCCCACTGCCACCCATGCCAGCACAGCTTTGCTCCTGGGCCAAGCAGATTCCCAACCTTCTCAAAGGAGACCCACCTGCTTTGTGGTTTGCAGCCACCTCGTTGATGTCTGTGTCAGAGTCACTGCTGTCACTGCTGGAGCTGTCGGCTGGGGCTGCTTTCAGAGAGGCCTTGGCGAGGGAGTTTGCAGCAGTCACGGCTGCTTTCCCTTGCCCCACTTTGCCTACAGGCTGGGGGGGAACCGTCTTTGGTGCCTGGGGTGCTGCTGGAAGCCTGGAGAGGCCCAGATAGCCTGTGAGAAGGGACTGAGACAGCACAGACACACTGAGAAGTCACAGCAGGGCAGCCTCCCACACACCAGACATGCAGATCTGTCTCTGCTGCTCCTGCCCCTGTACTCCAAGTGAAGGGCCCACCTTTGTCCACCCTGCAGAGAGGCCAGGGCTGCCAGGAGAGGGGGCCAGCACTGACAGACATTGGCTGAGCTGACAGCAACAGGACCTGATGGCAAGAGGTTCCCTTTGTTCTTGCCCAGTAAAGCAGGCTTCGGGGAGGCTCCTGGCCATTAGCACGCACCCAAGCACAGCTAATGCACTGCAGATGTGCTGCACGCCTTGCACGTTACTTACAAAGGGAATTTAATGTCTTGGACACAGGTTAAGTTACAAATAAAAGTGGGGGAAAAAAAATCCTGCTGCTCTTGGCACTGTGCTCCAGTTCTCCTGGTTTAACCCTTGCAAGGCACCACCTCCTCCCATCCCTTCCCCCAGGGAGGGCACCACAAGCCCTGGACCTAAGGCTGGGCTACCTGGGGAAGCTTTCCAGGTTCAGAAGCCTCTCTCTGCCCTCACCAAAAGACCCTGCTCACAACACTGCACTGGGGAGCCCCCACTTCTGTGCTGGAAAACCCATTCAGCACCCTGTTTGCTATGGCTAAGAATTCAATCCTCTCTCTATCCTATTTAGGAGCCAGTTGAATGACCCAAGAGAATCCCAGCCTGCTCAGGTACCATACCTGTGATGCTGCCTCCTCCTCCTCACTGGACTCCGAGGAGGAGGAGCTGTGAGCCGGCTGGGTCCCCCCTGGTTTCTGCAGTGAGCCTGCTGGAAGAGCAGAATTCACCCCATTAAACCCACCACTGCTGCCTGGGGCTGAGCTCACCTACTCAGCACAGTTAATGACACCAAAAGGCCTTCTGCCTCCAAAGGGGAGTGCTCTGCCAAGCTGGAGAAGAGGAACCCCTCTCCAACCACTACGTGAAGGTGACCCCTCCCATGGGATAAAACACTGTCCCCACCCTGGCCTAGCCAGCAGCCCTGAGAACATCTTCTTGGGAAAACTGACCAGGTTTGGGGGGCTGCTTGGGTGTCTCCTCCTCGCTGTCTGAGGAACTGCTGCTGTCTGAGACCTCCTCTGCCTGGGTGGGTGGCGCAGCCTGGCTCAGCTGGGCATCCTGCACTGGCTGCAGGCCTGGCTTCCTCGACTTAGCAGTGGGACTTCCCAGGAGCGAAGCAGCCTGTGGGGCAGCAGCGTTGGCTGGAGGAGCTTTTCCCACAGGAACCGTTTCCTTTAGACAAGGAGGAGGGAGGGCCTAGGGAGAGGAAGTGAAATGCATCTGGAAATAGGAATAACTGCTCATGCCCGTGAACTATAATAAGCAGCCCAGAGCAGATGAGCTTGAACCATCTCGGCCCTTCTTCAGCCACACTGTTCCAGTTTGTGTCAAGGTTAGCCCCAAAACCTCTCATGCAGGGCACAGAGATCCCACCTCCCCTGGCCCACAGATGAAGCAGGCAGCTGTGGCCAAGCAGACAACTCCTGACTGTACTGGGCACTGCTATCACAAAAGAAGGAATAAACCAGTCAGCCAGCTGGAAGGCAGGAAAAGCAAAGGTACCAGGGCTACCCTCTGCTCATCTGCCTCACCCTATGGTGCAGTTAACAGTGGTTAAAACAAAGCAGGCCCCCCACTCCCCAGCCTCCATGAACAGGCTCACTCAGCTGGGGGCACAGCACCAGCCTCAGACTCCAGCAGACCCATCTGCCCACTCCCCAGGGAAGCTCCCCACTTTTGTCTCCTCTGTCATTACCTCTCCCACCAGCACGTCATGCTCCAAGGAGTCACTGCTTGAGCTCTCAGACACTCTGCTAACTGGAGGGACGGCAGGTGCTTTTATTCCCTTCCCCAAAGGCAGCGTGTCATTACCCTTAGCAGCCACTGCGCTCGAAACCTTGGTGGCTTTGACGTTCTGTTGGGACAGACTCTAAAATACACGAGAAAGAAAATCAGGACAGAGCACACCTTGGAAGAGAAAGAGACAGAAGTATACACCAATCCACCACTAACTCCTGAGCCCGTCCATTATTTTCAGCACACCACCAAGGCTCATATTTATCTTTTTTTTCCCCTTTACAGGCTAGCAGTGTCTCCTATAAGCCTCTGAGCAGAGCAGGGCCTCTGGCACAGCCAGGAGCAGAAAAGCGAGGCATTGCCTAAAGCATTAGCTCAGTGCCCCAAAGAGACCCATCCTGAGGGCAAGCAGACAAAAAGTGACGTGCTTGCGGGCTGTGAGGTCCCTATACGCTGCTGCACCAGCAACACTGCAGCTGCAAACCCTGCTTTTTGTAAAGCAGGCACTTGGACTCCAGGATGTCTCCTACACTCTAAAAGTCACACAGAGAGTTAACTGGCAACAGGGATAAAGCAAAGACCAACCACTGGGCAAATCCACCTTCAGGTCCACAGGCAAGCCACAGGTTTGAGAGCAAATTAACAAGAAGCAATTTTGTTGCCTCAGATTTGAAAACTCCCATCAAACTAAACGTAAGAGGGGTTAAAAATAGAAGAGCCAGGGGCATGGAAATCAGACATTGACATCAGGTCTAAGACACAAATGCCAGCAGAGGAGGGAGCAGGAGCGACGAAGGAGTACTCAGCCTCCTGGTTTGTTACAAACGAGACTACGTGAGCAGCCTTGCCCCTCCAGATCTCTGACAAGCTGGGCCTTTGTGGGCTGACATTTCCTTCACACAACATCTGGCCTTCAGAAAGGAAGGCAACACTCCACCATGCAGAGAGCCACCAATCCGACGTGAGCTCTCAGCCGTCTTTGCACGAAGCTCAAATTACAGCAACTGCGTTGTTTTATACAATCTTGGTACTATAAACACACATTAATCAAGGACTGCTCAGGCTGGCTGCCTGCCCACCAGCTGGGGAGAGGCAGTCTTTCCACTGGCCACAGCATCAGGCCAACATGGGGAAGGGTTTTCTTGAGTGCACATAATGCCCCTGTCCCAGCAAGGGCACTGGCCAGACAGAGGACATGTATGTGTGGGGCAAGAAGCACACTTGGCCACTAAGCCCTGGGCTCAGACCACCAGCCAAGCCACCACCACGTAAGAATGGTAGCCACACTCCTCAGTCGATGCTTCTTCATGTGGTTTCTTTCTCAGGCTCAAACTGCAGCAGTGGTGCAGACACCCAAGACAGCTTCACGTGGAGGCAGCTGAGGCCCTAGGGAGCTCAGCCATGGCCCTGTGGGACCGACATGGAGAGAGAGACATGACATGAAGAGACTCAAGTGAGAGAGCTAGGATCAGCTCCACGACACTCAGCACTGCCCTCGGCACAGATATGGGGTCAGCTTCCTTCTCCAAGGCAGGGGTCTGGCTCCTCCAGCTGAAAGGCAGCAAGATCACTGTGCTACCCCTCAGGGCAGATCCTTCTAGTCTCCCAAGGCTTGTAGAGGGGGAGTCCAGAGACCTCCAGCTGCACCCCACACCCAGGGGTTTGGGAAGAACCAGCGGGCAGGCAGGTTGACTTGGAGCTACCCAGCTCATGGAAAGATTCTGCCTGCGAGGATTTGGCTGCTTTTCCAGTCTAACTCCCTGGAGTAGGGCAAAAGGGACTGAGTCCCAGAGGTCTGGGCTTGCACATCCACTCATGTTTCTGCCAAAACATTCACACCCTCCACTGCTCTCACACACAGCAAGCTTGCTGCGGCCGAGATGTGCACCCAGAGCTGGGGTCAGCGAGACCCAGGGACGCTGCCAAGAAAACATAATCCAGCCAACAGCAGGGCTCCTCTCTGCACCACTCATTACCCACCCCCAACTACTCCCTCACAAGTCCTGCGATCTCCTGAGTGTGCAGGACTAACAGCATCCACACCCGGCGGGTCAGCAGCTCCTTACCTGAGAAGGGGGGACTATTTCCTCCTCTGAATCTGACTCCTCACTGGAATCATCGCTGCTGTCCACAAGTAGAGGGGCTGGGGCCGGTGCTGGAGCTGGTGCCTTCTTCACAGTTGTTGGCTGGGGCGCAGCATTGGTTTTCACTGCAGCAAAAGCAGAAGAGACTGTCACCATGAGAAAGAGTTGCTCTCTGTGGCTGTCCAGAGCAGGAGCTATCACAACAGGCAGGGCCATTCCATGTGCAGGGGAGAGAAGGAAACCCATGAGGATGCAGGTGAGGGATCCTGGCTACTACCAGGAGACTTACCAGCTGCTTGTGGTGGTTGTGTCTGTGCTGCAGGGGACTCCTCTTCACTGTCAGACGAGTCACTGCTCTCGCTTGCTGAGGCCTGGCTTTTCAAGGTGCTTCCCACTGCTTTTTCAGGCGGCGCAGCTTTAGCAGCCTGGCTCAGGTTGGGAACAAGTCCAGGCTGTTCTGTTAATCTCTTAACAAAAAAGAAAGACAGGCCAGAAATGTGGTATTAGTACAGGTGTTGTTTAGGAGTTTAAGTGCAGTTTCAGCTCAAGCTGAGTTTTGTTTTACCCTAACACAGCTGTTACTAACACTCACTCCATCCTTGGCGTGTCAAGATTGGAAGGGGCTTCAGTTATTGCCTGGACTGAGCCGCTGAAGAACATACAACAGCATTTAGCAATATGCTTTTGCCAGGAAGCCCGAATGTGTTTTACCACACAATTATGCAGGACTAACAGCACTGAAACTTCTAACAGCAGTTCCTTATTGAGGCCAAGCTACTGGCTGGACAGGAGCCTGAGGGCAGAAGCACCACTGCAACCCTGAGACCCCCGTTCCAAGGAAGCCTCTCATTTAAGCATGACCTCCCCCCAGCCTGGGGACCCAGCATGAGCTGGGAAGCCTTGTGCCGAAACACTTGCAAGATTCAGAGACAGCATCAGAGGAGCTACATCCTAGAGCTGCTGGAAAGCTCAGCGTAGACACGGAGCTGACACAAGCATTTGGGAACACAGAGGGCAGGCAGAGACAGATCAGGATCCACCTTGGAAACTGATCTGTCAACAGATCTAAGAATTTAGAAATCTCTAGACAATGAAAAAAACCTGCAACTCACTCGGGCTGTGCTTTTTTACAGCACACATCAACACTCTGACATCCCAGGACAGACCATGAGCCACTGCCCTGAGCGACTAGTGCATCAGCACTAAGAAGCCACAGTTATTGCAGCACCAGATACACAACTGCCAGGTGAGACCAGCTCTTCCCAGCCCCTCTCCCGGCTTGGGCCGAGGGTTGCACACACCCCTCCTGCAACCTGCTGAAGGCTAGCGGTGCCAGAAGGAGAGGGAGCACTTGCAGAGAGATCTGGTAGCTTCACCACCTGCAGATATTCTCCAGGCTCGCAGTGCTCTGCACCCACTCAGTTTACTCCACTCATCGCTCATCTCCGGGCTGCTCTGCCAAAGAGTACATCACGCTTGCCAGGGCGGGCAGACCCCATCCAACCCGCACGTGATGGCAGCCCGCCCCAGCGCTCTGTTTCCAGGCCTCCCACAAGAAGGTGAGGCTCTCACAGCCCGGCTGCACAGCCCCTGCCAGCCCCCTCTCCCAACCCTGTCAAGCTGCTAACACAGCGATACCCTCTCAGCTCGCAGCGGAGGACCAGGAGGACTTTGGCAGTGCCAGCTCACTCGGGGGCTGCTCCTGGCCAGCAGCTGAGAGCACCAGCCTAACAGCTTCCCGGAAGGCTGGATCTTACCGTGCTTCCTGGCACAGCCCCACCGAGGGCTGCCACTGGGGCAGTGTTTATCATCTCCAAGCCAAACACTAAACAGACAACAGCATCTGCATGTTTATCCCATTACAGAACAGCTCTCCGAACAAGCCAAGCCCATTTTCGCTCTGCTTGGAGAAACAGAAACCTCCACAAGTGCTTGGGGATGGGGGGATTGCAAACCTCACTTGTCTGTTTTGTTTTGATACCAGTGAGTCACTATCTCCAGCAGAGAGGCCAGATTTGCAATGCTGGAGAGAACTACTTGAAGCAGACACAAGAACTCACACGCTCTACTTAAACGTGCTAGCTCCCCTCCCTCTTGTCCCAAGCACTGTTGTGAAAGGGAAGAATCTACCGAAATTAGGCTCTACTCACTCACTTTTAAGACCTTTGTAGCATTGGGACTGGCTTCTCCCCCTGCTTGGATGCACAGCAGAAGGGCTGCTTCATTTCCTAACTTAGCAAGAGACTGGGAAAAGAGCTTCCATACAGAGGCAGCCTGACACCGAAAGAACATAACAGCATCCACAGAGAAATTACCATAAGCTTTACACAGCCCTGGGACTCTTCAGACCTTCCTGGGAGGAGGCCAAGGTCCCTCCATCCACCTCATCTCAGTCACTGCCAGATGGCAAACAGACACCACGTCCTATGGTGTGGCGGCAGGTGGGATCAAGCCAGCAGCGTGGCTGAGTTAAACTCAGGGAGCAGGGTAACACAGGCAGAGAGCTTCTAACAACTTAAGAGTCACAGGTACTGAAGTAACTCAGAGAGGAGGAAAATAATTCAAGAGGAAATAATTTTTCCTGCTCTCTCTCCAGCCCCCAAACCAGGAGCTGCCTGCGGCTTGGTACGAGTGTGATGACTCAGCTCCCGCACAACCCATCTGCCACTCTGCTGGGTCCATTTGCATCATGCAGCGCTGCATGACAAGAGGGGGAAACAACACTGAGCCACGTGCACGGAGCACGTTGTAACCGTGTCGTGGTTTAAACCTGCCTGGCAGTCAAATACCACGCAGCCGCTTGCTCAGCCTCCCCTGCCCAGGGAATGGTGGAGGGAATTGAAGGGGTAAAGGGAACCTTGCAGGTTGAGGTAAAAACAGTTTAAAAATTGTAATAAAATAAAACAATAACAATCACAGAAAGTAAAAACGAGTAATGCACAATGCAATTGCTCACCACCTGCTGACTGATACCCAGGCCTGTTCCCAGACAGCGATGCCAAAATACCAAGGCCCCGCAATCGTAATCCCAGAAGCAAGAAAGAACCCCTTCCTTTATATACTGAGCACGATGTTACATGATATGGAATATTTCATTGGCCAATTTGGGTCCAGTCCTCTGGCTCTGCTTCCTCCCTACACACAGGCAGGACACGGGGAGTTGGAAAGTCCTTGATCTCTTAGCAACAACTGAAAACATCAGGGTATTATCAGCATTCTTCTCATACCAAATCCCATACGGAATCAAAAGCACAGCACTATTCTAGCTACTGAGAAAAAAAATTAACTCTATCCCAGCCAAAATCAGGACAAAATGTCACACTCCTCTGCTGCCTGTGCACTGTGGAAGCACTGTTAAGAGACATTAGTCATTTAGCTTAGTTAAATAAGTTTTAAATAGAAAGAATTGCTTAGAGTTATAATGATGTGATTTTGTATGCTGTCTGCTTAGCTCACTCACTGAGCATGAGTAGCTAGATTTGCTGAAGCCTTAGGCTACACGCTGTAAACTTTCACTTAGATTTACTGAATTTGTACCTACTCAAGCAAAACAAGGCCTCCAGTGCAAACCAGAAGATGAGGGTAACAAGTGTCAACAGCAGCTGCAACTAGACAACAGCCTGCCTGGAGACAGTGAAGAAATCCACTACAGAGTCAGAAAGTGTCAAAGATCTCAGGCCAGAATCCCCACTGGACCAAAGAAAGAGTGAAAGGCACGTGGAGATTGCACAAAGGGTGGGTGCATAGTCTGTAAGGGTATAACCGCTCAGGGATTTCTTTGTTCGGGGTCCCTCTCCGGAGGCACCCAGCTTGAGTTGATCCTGCTGCTGTACCACTTAAATTATTTATTTTTCTAAGATTCAATGCCCAAGACTCTGCTTTGGGAAACCTAGGGTTCAAACTGTGAAGAAAACTTCTTTAACAAGCACCACTAGCTTATCAGGACTGGGACCGGTATCTCAGTTGTGTCACGATACAGCAAAGGTATGACTGTCACCTGCAAGGGAGCGAGGACAGGGTTTAGGGAGAGAAAGAGACCTTCCATCTCTTGGGAGATTTGGCCTCTCCTTGCAGGCACAAATTCTACCAGTGCAGCCTGCATGGGTTTTCCTGGGATGCTCAAAGAAGACACAGGTTCCCAACACATGTACACATGTGCATCTGATGCCCAGTCCTAGTAAGCAAAAGCCAAAGCCTGTCCATAGAGGGCTTGAGTGTCATCTTTGGCCCTAAATGTCCAGGAAAGAGGAAGCTGAGCAGAATTAGCAGTTCCAAAAGAAAAGCAGCTCACAGCATCTTTAAGGTCAATCCAGACTGTCCTCCATCACCATCCTTCCCCCTTCAAAATATGCAAACACCTTGTCAACTTCTTTGACTAAATATTCCTGAGTCTTCAGGGGTAAACATACCAATTAAGCAGTTCAATTTAGGCATGATGTTCATTTTAATTGTGCTAATCCACCCCCACAGGGAACGATGAAGCAGCTTCCAACGCTCTGTATCTGTTTGGATCTTGCACAGAAGCCAGAGGAAGTTGCAGGATACAGTAAGTCAGTGGTTAGCATATGCCCAAGTAGCAGATGGCGAGGATGAGCTAAGAAGAGTTTGACTGGGAGGACAGGACTCTGGACACAACTAAGCCTAATGGTTTATCTTCAGGCTTCACTTGTGGTCCCTGGCTGTAAGCTACTAACACGGGAAGAAACAGCCTGTTTGGCAAAACTTGAGCTCCCTCAATGACAAGCTCTTCCTTGCTGACTGTGGCTGTTGAGGGGTAATCGCCTGTTTGCAAGAGGGAAGATGCTGAAGTGGTTAAATAGCTGTTGACAAGATGGCTATCTGTTGCTGCCAGCTTCAAATCAACACTGGGGGGAAACAAGGCTAGCCCAGTATATCCTTCACCTACAACCTTGCTAGAACAGACGAGTCTCAATAGTTTTACAGCGGGACCCCACGCCACAGTTATCAGAATACCTGCTCCTGCCACCCAGTGCTGAATCTTCACATATAATCACGCAGGAAGAGAGCAGCACAGAGCCAACTGTTAGAGATGCGTCCCCCTCCACCCACCTTAGCAGACCAAGGCTATAAAGACAAAAATGCAGAGCCTCTCTGGCTCCTGCCTGTCAATAGTGAAAGGACGTGTTGACAAAGAGCCTCCTTGCAAGGACACGTGAGGCTCTGCCCCCGGCTTCCCTTCCTCCCTTGCAGATAATCACTGCTGCTTTCAAAACGTTGCTTTCAGGGCACTTCCCAAGGGCCCTGCAGCCCAGCCTCAATGAAGGTCTTTGTACAATGTGCCTAAGGATGCTCTCAGGAAGGGATCTGCTTCCCTATGAGTTCAGCCACTTAAGTCTGAATCCAGTCTGAGTTCATGGTCCTTCTCTCAAGAGAGGTCTAAACAAACCCCCACAGGAGCCAAGACCAAGCTATCTGTGTCCCCACACACAAGGCCCACTCCAGAGTGGCAAGAAATGAGTGGAGTAAAACAGCTGGAATCAAATAGGTAACCCTGCACACTCCTCTGGTATGGCTGGGTGAAAAGAGTTAGACTATATGTTTCCAAGTAGATTTTCCTTCTCTGAGGGACTGAGATACAACATACTACGTGCTACTGGTGTTTCAAGGAGATCAGTAGTAGCATTTAAGGGCTAAACAATTGTCTTGCATATCCCACCCTTTGGCACTGAGCTGAATGCGGTATCACCTACCTTCTGGCTGACAGGCACAGGGAGATCCTCCTCTTCACTACTTGAGGAGTCAGAGCTCTCCACTGGCTTCGTACCTTCAGCAGGCTTTGGGGGAGCAGCAGTCCTTCCCAGTGTGGTTCTGGCCTGCTTTGGCACTGCTGGCTGTGGTGCTGGCTTCCCTTGGGACAGTGGAAGTGTTTTTGCTGCAGCTGTTTTGCCAGAGAGGGATGCTGCTGGTGTAGGTTTCACCGGGGATGGGATGGCTTGCGAGGATTTTGGAGGTGGCTTTGTCTGGACAAGACAAGAACAGCGTGAAACAAAGCAAATCCCACAGCAGCAGAATTAATTTGCACAGGCTGTAATCAAGGGAAAAGATTTCAGAGCCCCCTGGGAAAGGCAAATGATGAAGGAAGATAAGCAACTGGCAGGACACAAGGCATCCTTTCATCTAGTTGTGTGGGGATAGTCTCCCAGGATGAGAAAGCAAGACCAGACATACTTCAACAGCTTGCTGATACTACCAGTCCCCTCCCGTGAGGAACACTGCAGCACTTTGCACTCTCCACAGTGGGGAAGCTAAGATGCACTTCAGTCCAACAAATTAGATGCTATTTATTGCCATTTATAGCAGAGAGGCAAATTCAACCATGACAATTTGCCTCTTCACAGGTGGGAGAAGAATTGCTGTTTTTTTTTTATTTAAAAGTACTGATGGATTTTTTTTTTTCTTTTTTAAGAAAGGCGCAATGGCTTGATTAAAGCTCAGAGCAAAGACATCGAGGTGCCTTTAAACACCCCATGCTTCTTTCCTCCCACCCCCAACATGACTGCTGTACACTACATGCATTTACAAACTCTTCTTTTCATTGCAATTTCTAGCCCTAGAGAGGCATGCAAGGAGAGTCTGGGTCTTGGATAGACACACCTGGGTTACTGATGGAGTTTCCTCATCTTCGGTGTCTGATGAGTCGCTGCTCTCTGATGTGTCATCAGGCTTTGCAGCCCCAGGAACTGTTGTGGATGCAAGTTTGACCTGGTTTGGTGCCAGTGCCAGTGTTGTTTGCCTCACTGCATTCTTCTTGAGGGACAACGGAGCAGCAGGTGCACTTTTCACAGGTGTTGCATTAACCTGCGTTGTTTTCACAGCTGGTTTTGCCTGTGAACAAGGGAAACAAAAGGAAACAGAAGAATCAGGTAACATCTCAGGAGAAACCAGCTGAGAACTATAATTGCATGGAATCTGTTTTAAAGAAGGCTACCTTGCTAACTTTGACCAGTACAGGCTTGCTCAGGCTCATAAGTTGTCGAGTATCTGAAGAAAACCACTTTCTCCAGAGACTGCCTGACTACATCCATGGAGTTGCACACCAATCACCTCTTACAGATCAAAGGATCTCCCTCAGCTTCAGGCACTAGGAGGAACAGGGATGGAATGGTTGATTCTGGCTGGGGTTAGTGGGGCTCTTGGCCACGCAGCACGTTTCTCTGGCCTGGGGTTTGGGGACCTCACATACACAGGGAATGGAGTATTGTCAGACTACAGTACTTCCTCTCTCCTTCAAGGGAAGGGGAGTGATTTCCTAAATACAAGGACCCTGGGTTGGAGAGGTTACCTGGACCACTGGAGTTGCATCCTCCTCCTCAGAGGATGTCTCATCACTTGATTCCTCGCTGCTGCTCTCAGCGGCCCCAGCTGCCTGCTTCAGCTCTGAAACACAAGCGAGGAAATGTCACAGCTGCTGCCTGCCCCGAGCTCCCAGACCATGATGCTAATGTGGCTTTTGAAGTCAGGAAAACAAAACAAGCTGCAGAGAGGGCTAAGGAGATTTGCAGGGAAGAGGGCCTGGGCCTAATGAAAGCATCAGTGCCCTGCTGTGGACAGCTTCTCCACACAAATGCTGATCCACAAGCACCACTCCCTTGAGTGCAGGCAGAGATGGGAAATCCTCCTGGCCACCCTCTGACCCTACGGGGAGCTGCCCAGCCAGACAGCTCCCTGCAGGGACACCCAGCCTGGCTGGGCCTCCTCTGGAAAACAGCCAAGAGAAGGACCATTTTTAGAGCTTCTACAATCTATTCCTCACTGCTCCCCCCAACACACGCACACACTTCAAAGCAGAAAAAGATTTCCCTAAAGGCTTCAAAACCCCAAAACAATCACTTTGCAATTAGGAATAAAGAGAAGATGCTGCAGTGCCTTTCCAAAAAGCTGAAAGCATCTGCAGTATTAGTTCTGCATCTCTTCCAGATATGCTATGCTGTTCTCTCCAACCCCCTAGTGCTGGGTGCTGCCAGACATCTTAGCACAGAATCTGCCACTTGAAATGGGAGCAAGCATGCTGGATTCATCCCACATTGCTCCAGAGCTGGCTGCCTTGCAGTATTCTCACAGCCTCCCCAAGGAACAAGCATCACTGAGCTTTCCAGTAAGGGCGCTGAAAGAAACATGCTGAAGGCACAGCTCAGACCTGATTCGCAGCAAAGCTGGAGCACTCATGCATTTACCAAACCCTGCAGGCTCCTTACCCACTTTGGGGGCTGGGGCCTTTGCAGTCGGTGTCTCTTTTTCCTCCTCACTTTCCGATGAGGAGCTGCTGCTGGAGCTTTCCTGTGCTTTGGTCGTTACTGGTGCTTTGCTTTGACCTACTTTGGCCGTGGCTGCTGTGGCAGGTCTGAGCTTCCCAGGATCAGGCAGTTTCTGCCCAGCCTTGGCTGGAGCTGCAGATGCAGGTGACGCATTGGGCTGCTGCTTATTTGAGACCACAGTTCTGTTTGCAGCAGAGAGTGCCGCTGCTTTACCCACTGGGGCAGTGGGTTTGTTAGGCAAATGCAGGTTGTTGGCAGCTTTGCCACTCACCACAGCTGGTATCACCTACAGGAAACAAAAGAAATTAGAAGCCTATAGACAGATGAGGAGCTAAATTGGACACAACATACCTTAAACAGCAATCTGGCAGCTGGGCAAGCCATAGAGCTCTTTAGGGAAGCACTTGGGGGACAGATATCTAAGAGAAGGCTTATGCCAGCACAGGAGGGTCATTTAAATATGAATTCCACTCCAGCCCACAATTCCACACAGGCCAACAAGACAGGGACAGTCCTGGCCTCAGAGTACTATCAACCTTCAAAGCCAAGAGAAGAACTGCCTTACCGTAATTGCACCTTTTCCAGCTGGTGTCTCCTCTTCTGATGAGGAGTCATCATCTTCACTGCTTTCTACATTCACTCCTGAGTTTGTGGCCAGGGAAAGGCTTCCTGCTGCACAAGAGAGCCACAGAGAAATTGTGTGAGCATGTGTCTCACATCAAGATGACCTCTGGTTTGCAGGAAGGCCCCAGCAGGCAGGGCAGGGTCCCACCTCCACACCTGACCCAACACCACTGCTGCTGTCCTTGCAACAGGCAAGTGTTTTGCTCCTCCACCCCACCCTTCTCCCCACCACCAAGACAAGGAACCTGCCAAGATCTGCATGGTTCCAAGGGCTGGTCTACAGCAGATGAGACTGAGCCAAAAATGTATCAGACACATGGGTTTTTGTTAGACTATGCAAGCCAACACCTCCCACATCAGCTGCACCAAGGATCTGTGCCCACCTCAGACAGAGGGCACTGGCTTTCCAGACCAACTAACAAGTCCTTCCTTCACCCATGAAACAGGCCTGCCTTTGCTGGCCCAACACACACCCGGGACCAACTGGAATGTGCTCCACATTGGGCAGCGTTAGGTTCCCAAGGCTTCATTCAAGAGACAACATCCATCCCTTCCCAGTGAATCATGACAGGTTTTTTTCTAGCTTCAGCAGACATCTGTGCTCCTCAGAAACTTCACATGAGAAGGGGGTGCTAAATTAGTTGTCCTATTTTTCTAAGAGCATGAGGGACTAGCCATCACTTTACAAGCATTTTCTCTAGCCAAGCAAGTCGGGCTGCTCCTACACAAACCTCCAGTCCTACTCTGCCAACTCCAGGGAGATGAAAGGCTCCTACCATTTGCAGTTTTTGCCTTCTCTTTCTCATCCTCTTCTTTCTCTGAGCTCTCAGAGCTGCTCACGGGATCAGGAACTCTGATCTTTTCTGGTATGGCTGCCTCCTCATCACTCACCTTTCTTCTCCTGGAATTTGGGGGAGTTCTGAGGGAACAGAATTTGCATCAAAATGGGGAAAAAGATATCTTGAACAAATTGGAACACAAGTATTCATCCACTCTCAGGTCAGGCTCCAGCCTAAGGACATGAAGTGTCATTCCTCTACAACTCCTTAAGGGGTGGGAGAAATACTTCTCTAACCTGCAGAGGACATCTCCAGTCCTCCTCAAGCAACTTCTGAGGGCAACATAACCCTGCAATACTAAGAGGAGATAATGAACTTAAGACATTTTTTGTGCCCTAGGCAGACTCTTTCTCACTTTAGCAGAGAAGGAAAAACATATATGGTCAGGCTGGTGCTCACCACAGAGCAAAAGGCATCCTACAGAACAAATTCTGTCTCCAGGAGGTAGCTGTAGCCAGTCAATAAGTGCAGTCCCAGAGTTAGGGCAGTGATCCCCAAGCAGGTCCCGGTATTCCATACCACCAGGAGAAGTGAATCTAAAGGCTGCAAAAGCTATTTGAACTTGGGCTCACAGGCCAAAAGGACAGAAAAATCAGGTTGCAGAGAGATTTAAGATAGGAAGTGGCTGGACCTACAGGAGATGTGTTGAAAGAAGGGGAAGAAGAGGCCACACATGAGCATTAAACACTTAAGCTGTTCAATTGGGTTAAAACATTAAGCTGGAGAAAGAGGTTTCCAGGCTCTGAATCCTACCTGTACCAGCAGAACAGACGTGGCTAAAGTTATAGTTAATTTTCAAATGAAAACATGGGCAATACATTTGCTTTATTACAAGGATAACATTGGCTGAGCACATATCTCTGTGTGATTCACACATGCAGTACTTCTAAGTTGGTAAAAGCCCTGAGACACCCACAATTACCAGAAGCAAGAAAACCCCCTCGCTTTTATGCCAGTTTATTTTATTTGTTCATCTAATTTAAAAATAAGATTAGTTTAATGACTTCGCCAATAAAGATCATGCTCATTATGAGTGTTTCAGCTGCATAGCTGTAACAGCAAGTTTTGTGCAGGCAGGCTAGGCTGAAGGCATATTTGCTATTACAAAGTGCCGTGAACTACTGTAATAATCCCTTTAATAAAATTATAGAGCAAGCCACACAGGCAGTTATGACAGTTGAATGCCTTCCTGATTCAGTGGCAGCTGACAGCATAACAGAGACTGCTGTGAAAATTTGTCCTGAGTGACCAGGGGCTCAGGGATACTGCGTGGGGGAAAACAGCAGTGCCCAGAGGCGCTGGCCCTACAGCAGCCTGGAGCATTTGAGGGCTGCACAGCTCCAGGTGCTCAGCTGATCCAGCTTCCCCCTACACCCAGGCACCCTTCTGCCCTCTCAGAGACTAAACGTAGTGCTGGAGGGACACCGCTCTTAAGTAACTGCAAATCTCAACCATTAATTTCACTTTGTAAGAGTTTCTGAAGGAGAGCACCAAGGGCAGGCATAACTCAGGGGAACCAGGAATAAAAGGCGTACTTGTGGGGTGGGACCACAACAAAAGGGTGACACTACAGAAAAACAAATTAAACACGATGCAAGTACCCTGTCGCCTCCTCAAAATTTAAAAGCAATAGTATCTGGAAGGGTTTTCTGTAGCACCCAGGATAACTAGCACAGAGAAAGGTAACCATCAATATTCACAAGAGCAATAAATTATTAGAGGGAGGAGCTGAAAGTCTGTTTCTACACTGCTATGTCCTCACCTAGATCCAGTCTTTCTCCTGCTCAAGTAAGAAAATCATGGAGACCCGAGAGCAGCAACCAGGGCAGCACCAAGGCACGAGGCGTTCTAGCCAAAGACACCTCTGAAGAAAATGCCTGCTCCTCGAGGCTGCTGCCACGGCCACACTGAGGAGCATCCTCCCTCCAGTGCTCCCCGATTCCCCCCAGTAAGCGGGCTCTGAGGATGCCAGCAGGCCTCTCTGCAGCCCTGCACTCCCGCATCAAAACCCAGCGAGTGGTGCACAGGGTGGGTGCGAACACCATCGCACCCCACGGATGGGTAAGGCTCCACGCTGCAGACCTTCATGTGGGGTACTCAGTGGAATGACTATGTGGGAAAGGCATTGGTCTGAACATGTAGGGGCTTGAAAGGACAGGCTGAAACCAAGAGGCTTCCTCTGAGTCAGAAGATATGTGATCTATGCCAAGATTTAAGTCCCTGTAAGAGCCTTGGCATTTCAGCATCTGCTCAAATTTTCTGTTCTTGGGTCAATATTCCTGTGGAGCATGTGGCTTTAAAAAGAAAGTGAAACAAAACTGCAGAAAAGATTTTTGCCAGTAAAGCATGACTCCAAGTCCCACAATACTCCAGTATTAACCTCAACCAGCAAGAGTAGCATCAGCTGCTCAAAACTACAGGAACAACTTATCTCCAAGCTCTGGAAATTTTAAACCCAAGTAATTCTTAACATCTGAAACGAATTGGTCTGAAACCAGAGTCTAGGAGGAAAGTCTGCTGAGCACAATTGTCATCGGAAATACTCTGACAACAGGAAATTCCAGCAAATAAAGATCACACATGCCATGCAGCCTGGATGTTAACGGTCTGGAATCTATTTGATAGTCATTTCATCCTTTGACTTACTTTTCCCAGTGGGTAAAGATGTCCTCGAGAGAGGTCGAGAGGGAAGGGAGCAATTTCTGTGAAAGCAGAGGGAACATGAGTCAGGCATCGGCCCCATTTCAGGATGCGACCACCACACAGAAGCAAGAAACCACAGAGGCCCCTCCGGGAACCCACAGGAAAACGGGAACGTGTCCTCCCCGCAGAGTCACCCCCCCATACCACCCCGTTCCCCGTCTTGCTGCACCCACGGCCGTGTCCTACCCCCCCCCCCGGGCGTCACCGGCGGGATTTCACCCGCGGCAGCAGCACGTGTCCGGGGAGCTGCTACGGGACGGCTTTAGCCGTTCAGTTGCCGATCTCTGCCCTTCTCCCCCGGGCGGCTCGGGACTGGGCCGGCCCGTGGGCACCGGGTCGTGGAGGGGGGGTGTACGACACCCACTCGGGCCTGGGCCGGCCCGTGGGCACCGTGGGGGGTGGGCGGACGACACCCACTTGGGGCTGGGCCAGCCCATGGGCACCTAGGAGCGGGGAAAACGGGGCGGGGGAACGGACGGACGGACGGACGACACCCACTCGGGGCCGACACGTGGAGCCGCGGGCGCGGTGAGGGAGCGAGGGAGGACCGGGCCCTCCGCCCGCCAGACCCACGCTGCTTCCACCGCCCCCCCCCGCCCCCCGCCCGGGCCTGGCTGCCCGTTACCTGCCCGGTCTGCGCCTGGAGCTCACGGGCCGCCCGGGCGTAGCCGCCACGGAGCAAGTGCTGGTGGATGAGGGCGAGCAGCTCCCGCCCCCCGCGGGCCTCCGCCGCCATGGCCCGGCCCGCTCCGGCGCAGCCCGGGGGCGCCGCGTGCCGCGCGGCTCGGCTCGTCACCTCCGCTTCCGCCGCGCTGCCCTCTGGGAAATGTAGTGCCGAGAGGGGAGGCCGAGGTGATGGCGGGGCCTGCTGAAAACCTTCCCCGGCGGGAGATGGGGGGGGGCGAAAGGGGGGAGGCAGCGAGGAGGACAGGATGCTAACCTGTGTGGGCAGGCCGGTGACTGTTGCAGGCAGCGTCCCCTCGCTTTTCCAGCTGTGAGGATGGAGGCCTCCCCCCCCCCCCCCCCCTGCAGCGCTCTGGAGGTGGATCCTCAGGGCTGATTTCATGTGGAGGGGGACGGTGAGCTGCCCTGGAGAGCTGCTCGGGCGTTTTGGAGGGGCTAAAGCAAGAAAACGGCGAGCGGGAAGATGGAGCTCCAGAGCAGCTGCTGGAGAGGGGCCATGCCCCAGAGGGGCTGCCCTGTTACCACCCACCCCCCACCACCCTGTGCTGATACTTTCCAGGAAAAATCTGACTCCCTTCACTTTGACAGAGGTTTATTTTTGGAAGGTTTAATAACGTCCGTGGTGCGCCTGTCGCTCATTCAAAATACAGACCCTTTATTCGTATTTATAGGCAAGATTAAATATAAAACTGGCTTGGCTCCAGCTGGCTCTTGCACCAAATGTCTTTGACACCAGCATCATCCAAAGCCGTAAAGCCACTGGCCAGGTGGCAGTTTTACAGCTCCTGTAAATGAAACGCAGACCTGGCTGGGCCTTTCTGGGACTGACCTCCCCCTGCACAAATGCTCATTGATGCTCGGCGTAAACGTGGCCACGGCACATGCCGTGGCGGGGTGGCTGGCCCGCAATGGTGTCCCAGCGCGACTGCCGCTGCTCCGAGACAACCTGAGGTGTAAAGTCTGGTCAGCCGGTGGCCTGGTTCGGAGATCTGATTCTCCTAATAGGAGGGGAAGAGCCAGGTAGATGCATCCCAGGGCAGAGAGCGGTGAAGGGTGTCTCCAGGACAGGCTGTGGACTGGGGCTGAGCTAGCTTCACAGGCCTCTGAAAATGAGGTTGGGTGGAAATTCAGCCCCGGCGGTCCCCCCAAAGGGCACTGCCTGCTTCAGGTATATTGATGAACAGATTTGGACCTACTTTGACATGGTCTGGAATGCTTTTGTACCTCCAGGAACCGCTCGGTTTGCTTTGTTTATCAAAAAACCCACCTAAATCCAAAGCAAACCTCCTCTGCCCCTATCCCTGCCTTGCTCCCACCAGGAGCCTGGTGATTACAGGAGGAGCTGCCCAGGCCTCATGCAGAAAGGAGCAGAGGGTCTGTCCTGGGCAATGAAGGTCTCCAAACAAAGGTCGCACCATTGAAGGAGCCCAGTGTGGTGCAGGGAATTGCCGTAGCACCGTTTATAGATTGGTCTGAGTGGAGGGCGGATGGGACATTTAGCACTGGCAGGAGGAGGGCTAGGAGGATGGCAGGTAACCAGATTGGCAAGCCATCAAGATGCCAGCAGAGAGACAAAGGAGGGCGAGTAAAACACAGGCAGACCCATCTGCTCATGTTACAGGCAGGACAGGGCAGCAAAGTCCTGCGGGGCATGGTGGCAGTGGACTGGGGCTGGGTTGGAGGTGTATGGCCAGCTTTCCCAGAGCTCTTGGTTCCATCCGTGCTTTGCAGGGTGCCTGGGGAATCTGGGTGCATTAGTTTCCCCTGATGTCGGGGTACCAAGAGTTCAACAAGCCCCTGCTGTGTTGGGTTTTAAGGCCTCCTCTCCTCTCCCATGGCTCAGGACTTTCATTCTCTAGAAAGCATAAAGGGTTTGGCTTTGGCCAATTTCAGTAGAGCTTGAAAGGGAAGAAGATACAGATGAGCATAGATGGGAGGAAACACATTCAGGACAGACTGCTCTCAAGAAAGGCAAGTAGAGTATGTTAAAGACCTGAGTGTCCCTGGACAAATGACTTGAAATATTGACTCCATTTTCCCCCCAAGTGTTTCTTCACAGGTCTGCTACAGTTCAGGGTCACTTGAGTCCAAAGCTTCATACCCTCAAACCATGAATACCCCTAGCAAACCGCGATGCAGGGCTTGAGAGTAACACAACCCACTTGAATGAAGAAATCTGAAAAAAAATAATATGTATGCTGCACCACAATTACAGGTAGAGAAGGTATTTGAGGTGGTTAGTAAACATGCCAAATAATAAATAGAGCTATTCAGCCAGCAAACAGCTGCATGATTATAAATAGGAAAATCTACCCCAGCCCAAAGCCAGCTGAGACCCAACAACATACACTTATTAAGGAGTGATTTTTTTTGTGTGTGCATTTTTTGGAGGGAGGTTGAAAATATTTTGCCCACTCTTTATTTTAGGAAGGTGAAATGTCCCTGGTGGATTTCAAAAGCTAACCTCTCGGGTATGCGATCTCCATGCCAAGACACTGAGTCACGAAGAGATTGGAGGAAGCTGTTTCAAATCCAGACAGGGGATAAAACAGCTGTAATTGAGCAGCCAGCTCAGCTCAGTCTACTAATAACCACACAGCCCCGTCCCTGCCCTCAGCCATACAAGCTGAGAGCTTTGCTCGCTGACACTTTCACATGCTCTTTGGTTATTGCTTGGGGTCAAACTTGTCCACACCTATTCCGTTCTGAATGAGTGCTTGTGTCTGGGCCAAACCCGGGTTCAGGGAGCGTGCTTGCAGGCTGGAGAGCACTGTCCTTCCTCTGTTGTGCCCGATGGGAGCTGACAGCTTCCAGGTATGTCTGCTGGACCCTTGGGCTTGCAAGGACACTTTGCTGCTCTGCAAGCTTCAATTTAATGTATTTGTCCACCCATAAGTTTTCGGGATGTAGCGTGTTGTAGCAGCAGGGGACACATCTCCCATCATGGTCCAGCCTTTTTGTTTGGTGCATGTGGGGTTGCTTATGCCTGTTTGGGGTTGCAGAAGGAAGGGACTTTGTGATCCATAGGGATGCCAGGGTAGTATGTAGCACCTATGGGATTTAGATACCGGGGGATCCCAAGCTGCTCGCCCGAGGAAGCTTCTGCCTCTGGCTGCTGGTCTTTACACCATGTTGGTGGAGCAGAGACAACAGAAAAGGTGTTGTCTGTTTCTCAGCTGGTGCAGCTCCTTGCCTGCCCCATTTCATGGCCGCTGATAGCAGCCAGAGCATGAGCTGCATGCAGGTTGCTCCTTCTGCCTCTGCTCCAGAGCAAGATCCCCCAGCCAAGGGATGGGATGGGTGGCCAGGGACAGGAGGCTTGTTACCCCCAGCAGGTAACTCTGATGTGTCTCATGCGTCAGACTGTTGGCTGAAAGTGCAAGCCACATTTAGGAAGATAATTTTCATGGTCCGGTTCAGAAATTGAACTGAATTTCTCTGCTCTGAGTGCCCTGCCATGAGGGCTTCGAGCTCTCTCCCTCCTGGAAAGTGCCCCAGGGGGTGTCACCTGGGCTGAATGGAGAGATTATTGGAGGAGGTGGGGATGAGTCAGGGCAGGGTGAGTTCGAGAGAAAGATGGAGATGAAAGGTGTTAAAAGGACAGTGAGGAGGGGAGGTGGGAGCAGAGTCAGGGAGTGGAGAGGGGGAGTGGTGAAGGGAGACATAGAGACACAGGAATGGGTTCTCCTTTCCAAGGGAAGATAAGGCAAAGAAGGTAGGGAGGAAGCAATGAAAAATCTGAGGAGGGATGGAGAAGAAGTTGAGATGACCAAGGAAAAATAAAGCCACCCCAGTGGTTAGCTTGGAGGGGATTTGTTCACTGGTGCCCCTGGTTTGGCAGCTCTGGGCACGCGGAGGGAGGGTTGCCAGGTGCTGCTCTGCAGGGCTTTGAGTCACCGCCGAGATCAGCATCTCTCACCACACGCCTGGGGATCATGTCCTGGGCTGCAGCCAGGCCTGGGCAGCGCTGGAGGCAAAACTGTCCACAGCCAGCCTCGCTGCCCTCTGCCTGGCAGGGTGGGCTCAGGCTTTGCAAGGACAAGGAGCTGCTTTGGGAAGAATCTGACTCAGGAATCCCTGAGTTTTTTCCTCCCCGCTTTGTTTTGCTGTACTCTCCCCCCTCCTCCTTTTTCTTTGTCTGCTAATGCACAGCAGATGGGAGGAAATGCCATTTTAAATGCCACAGCATCCTGATGAAACGGATGGGTTATGGCAATCTCGGATGAATCATGGCATTGTTTTGTGTACATGGCCCACTGCAGCTCGGCCTCACTTGGGCAGCTTCCTGCCTACAGTTTTGCAAATACACTTAGGGTCATTTAGTCATCCACGCCAGCCTGGTGGCAGATGCCCTCCAGGACCTGAGTGTTCAAGTTGCATTAATTAATTAACCAGCCACATTTGTGGAGGTAAAACCGAGCCTGCAGTGCTTTACCAATGGGGAAACCAGCAGCTAGCTTTGAAACATCTGGTCCGCACTGCCTTTGGGGACATGGCGGTTATAAATTACACTCAATTCCCATGTTATGTTTATAGGATTTCCGCACAAGGTGGAAGAACAGGATTGAGAGAACCCGACCCAGTGCAGCACAGCCCTCACCTCCACCTCCAGCTTATCCCTTGGCCCCTCTGGAAAGCCAGGCTGTGTCCCTTCCCCATGCCTGCCTCTTCCTCGGCCCCACGGCTGGGACAGATCCACGGAGTCAAGGCTGAGGTCGGTTTCTGTGATGTGGCCACTTGCTGCTGGGGGCTTTACTTGGGGTGATCAGATCATTTCACCTAGGCTATCAGGCAGGCATTGAATAATATTGACTCACTCGCGGGCAGCCTGCTGCCAGATGAAAAGGAGCGGCTCAGAAGCAAAAAAAAAAAAAAACAAAATATATATACACATATCCCAACAGCTCCATCACTGAAACTCACAGTGGCCCAGCCCTGTTAGTTTCAAACTAATTAATTGTGGGAAAAAAAGTCACCTCTAAGCCTGCAGAATATAAAGCAGTCTTTTAATCTTGGTAGCTGAAAGAACAGATTTGAGAACTCCAGTGAGCAGAAGATGTGACATTAAAATTTGTTTGCAATATGCTTAATTTTAACAGT